CTTCAATGAGATTGATGGTAGAATCTGAAAATCTGTCCTGGTTCTAATACATTAAAGTTTATTCTTTTTAAGTTTATTTGATGACAAAATGTAGTAGGCTGTATATGAAGACTTGGAAGATGCTATAAAGGGATGCTGTGAGCCAACGTGGAAAAATCTAGTTCGTGATCTTCATTTATATTTAGCTGTGTCAAAATGAGCACTCTGTTGATGACCATTTAAGGTATTTCTATTAAATTTAAATTTCAAAACAAGATGTATTATGTCTTAATAAATATGTAGTCTCAATATCAGAGTCTTTACTCAGAAAGTAATAAAATCTTTAAAATTCCTATGCACAGTTGGAAATATAAATTGGATGGAAATCATATCATTGTTAATCATGCTTAAAGGGAAATACTTGCATATTTAGATTACTATAGTCCCTTTATAGGATAGACGTATATTTTAACATTTTAAATCAAACATTGTACTATTTTATATAATATGTACTTTCAATCTGACCAGCCTTTAGCAGTTTTAGCCACGCCCTTTATGTGCTTATGGTCATTTAGATCAAGTCCCTGCTGGCTTATTTACTGACCTATTTACCTCCGAATGATTTTAGAAATGAGTCCCTACATCTGAGAAGGACTGGAAAACTCTACTTCCTCTGTGTAGGCACTTTGGTGTAAAATGCTGATCAGAATCCCCAGGGAGCTCATCTGTGGCAAAGTGATTAAGGAACAGTGAAAGCATAAACAGCTAGGTATGGCCACAGGTGACTAAGTCTGGGGCACCTGAGGAATTCCAGGTGCCCCCACAGATGTCACCACATGGTTCAGGGAAGTAAGAAATTTAGATGTAGGTCATATCTGAAGCCCATCTGAGGCTAACACCTGTGCTTCTATGTTAGAGGTGACCTTGATTATCTGAATATAGTCACAGTTATAGAATGGGAAGAGACTAGAAATCACACAATTTAAGCATTACTTTTTTACTTGAGAGATTTATGTCCATCAAATATAACTTACCCCACCTAAAGTCCTGACTCTTGGTTTGTTGACTAGCATGTGATATGGTGGTACGAAGCTGTACGTGTGTTTGTGATCCCGGGTTTAAATCCTAAACATCTGTTTTTAGCCATTTAAGTCATTTAACCTTTGTGAGCCTCAAGCTTTCTCTTTAGTGTAAGAGTAATATTTACTTCACCAGTTTTTTGAATGTTAAATCACATAGTGTATAGGATGGGGAAGCTTTCCATTTTAACTAGCACCTAGCAGGCCTTCAGGGGAGAATAGTTCCCTATTCTCTTTTACCTGAGCATCTTGAACCACGATCCTTCCTTGTGGGACACCTCAAGTAGTCTCTTCTGAGCGCTGAATCTTGGCCAGTCATCAGGAGCTAAGCACTACTAGCCCCAAAGCCCCAGCAAAAATCGAGCTCATCCGAAGACAACTATTCTCAGTAATTCAGAGGCCGCCTTTCATTGCAACCGGCCAACACCAATGTCCCAAGTACCTCCCTTACTCATTCCTGATTAGACAGCCTGTGCATGATGCCTAATGGCATCAGTGACCCAGGGAAGTCTGGGATATGTGGGACACAAGGACACAGTCCCCACCTTTTCTTCACTCTTCCCCACATTCACCCCTCTCCCCATTTCCTCCACCTTTCCTTTCCCCACTTTCTGCCTTCCCCTCCCCTCCCCCTTTTTGTCCCCTTGCAAATCAAATATTGAACATGACTATCAACTCTGTTTTATTTGCTTCATTATACCTCATTTGCATGTCATTGTAATTAGTTCAGTTAACCAAAGCCTCATCTCCTGGCTCTCCTCCTAAAATTCTTAGCAAATCTATTATTTTATAACACAACTTTGGACCCTCTTTCCATCTGGTTACTCGATGTTGTTAAGTCTTTCCTAGCTTCCTTACAGTCCCATTTTTTTTCTGGGCTTTCTGGTTTACTCACAGTCCCCTGTATCCACCATCTCCTGTTCACATGGCCAAAGAGAAATATGTGTCTATGCTTTGTGAACAGATGGATGCTGGATAGGAAAAAAGAACTCTTGTATACATCTTCCCAGGGAGGCAGAGCTGTACTTTACAGGTAGAAATATAGTTAACAGAGGAAACATAGCACACATCTATGTCAATGCTTCATTCGAGTTTCTTAAAGAATGAGGGTCATGGGTATTCAGAGCAAGGTGTTTCTGGTGAGAGGTGCTAAGGAGAGAGATGACAAACTACGCTGCTTTTTGGGAGGTAAAGAAAAATTGTCGGTTAAATGTAAAGATAGATTAGAGCAGTGAACTTCAACCTTGAGTATTCGTATCAAAAATGAAAAAGGATTGGGCATTATTTTTAAAATAGCTCCTATTGTATACTTCTTATTACAAATGGACATAATGTGCTGATAGAAACATTAGGAAATGACAGTTATAAGAGAGAAAAAATAAAAGCAGGAAAAACCCGTTCCTCACCTGTATAACACTGATAATGTTTTGTAAATGTTTTCTGATGCTTTTCAATATTAACACCAGGCCATGTAATGAAATATTCTTATATAATATCATACTTATAGCCTTTATAATATCATTTTTGCCGTCTTTTATCATGTGAAAATTTCATAATACAAGTTTATAAACATCTCTGCAGTACACATTCCCGTTTGTCTGTGTCTTTGCTCATATGCCCTCCTCTGCCTGACACAGCAGGGTCCAGGCAGGCCACGTCTTTACTAAATTTTTTTTAAATATATGTTATTGATTTTTTACAGAGAGGAAGGGAGAGAGATAGAGAGTTAGAAACATCGATGAGAGAGAAACATCGATCAGCTGCCTCCTGCACATCTCCTACTGGGGTTGTGCCCGCAACCCAAGTACATGCCCTTGACCGGAATCGAACCTGGGACCCTTCAGTCCGCAGGCCGACGCTCTATCCACTGAGCCAAGCCGGTTTCGGTGTCTTTACTGAATTTGGGTACAGATTATTTGCTCATTAACCATCTCTCTTTTTGAAAATATTTGTGTTGATTTCAGAGAGAAAGGGAGAGGGAGAGATAGAAATATCAATGATGAGCGAGAATCATTGATCAGCTGCCTCCTGCACGTCCCCCACTGAGTTTTGAGCCTGCAACCTGTACATGTTCCCTGACTGGGAACCAAACCATTACCTCCTGGTTCATAGGTCGATGCTCAACCACTGAGCCACGCAGACTGGCAGACTGGACATTATCCATTTCCTTTGTGTTTCTGTGTGAATACTATTCTTTTTTATGTGTGCATTCTTTAATGCTTTAATATTGGTAATGTTAGATAACAAATTTGGTGCAAAAATAGGAGGAAATTATATGTCATAGCCTTGGCAGTGGCTACACTATCCGGTAATATCCAGCCTGTAATATCCAGTGAATCCTATTTGAGGAAATTCATTGAACCTGATATAATCTAAACAGGGTTAATTTAATCAGCCACAATAACATGGTAATAAGGACTCAACTGTGTCTTTTGCAGGAAAAGGAAATTGTACTTAAAAAACAAATTAGTGCCCTAACCAGTTTGGCTCAGTAGATAAAGCGTTGGCCTGCGGACTGAAAGATCCCAGGTTCGATTCTGGTCAAGGGCATGTGGCTTGGTTGTGGGCACATCCCCAGTGGGGGGTGTGCAGGAGGCAGCTGGTCGATACTTCTCTCTCATGGATGTTTCTAACTCTATCCCTCTCCCTTTCTCTCTGTAAAAAGTCAATAAAATATATTAAATAAAAAAAACAAATCAGTGGCTATATTTCAATCAACCATTTGGATTTTTAAAAACTATTATCACTATGTCAACAGTAGTGATGTTTATTGAGCACATACTCTGCATCAGGTATTGAACTCATATTAATTTCTCACCCAAACACCTTAAATAGTTCCACTATAATTGTATTTTACAGAAGAATTAAACTCAGGCACAGGGAGAGTAGTAATTAGCCTGAGGCTCAACAGCAAAAAATGATAAAATAAAGTTGGGATAGAAACTCAGGCTGTTTGGACTCATCCTTAACCACTTCTGTTTGAACTCCTAGATATAAGTGCTTTTCTAGTTTATTTCAATTAGGGAACTTCAGTAAAAGAGTATTTACATTACAGGACGGGGTGAACATTTCCACAAGGCAATTCACAAGTAAAATGCAATCCATAGTAGGGAGCTGCAAGCTGCTCTTCCAGAAATGGGCTTGCTCATATTCCAAGGAATGAAATGACTCAAAGCTAATTTAGAGTTTTGGCTTTGAGAAGATATAGTTGGACTATATTGGAGAATGTAATCCAGAAAGGCAGTTAAGTTACATTTTGATTATTCAAAATTAAACAGAATTATGTACACAAATGCCTGCTTGGAAAGTTCTGTCAACTTTGAGAAGGCCCATAATATTTGAATTTGAAAGTTCTAATGGATGCATCCTTTCTCAAGATACCAGCATCCGTCTGGAGAATGAAGAATGCTGCCTGGTGGGAGAGCAGTGCAGGGCAGTGGTGCGGAGCCTGGCGCCGGAGTCAGACTGCCTGTATCTACGCACCCACTACTACACGTGCCGTCTTGGGCAAAGTTCTTACCCTCACTTTCTCTTCTGTAAAATGGAATCATAAGTCTAGTCCACGTGACTGTTCTGAAGATTGAGAAATGCATATAAAGCACATAACTCCGTGCTTTGCATATGTAATGTTAAATGAATGTTAGCCAGTGTGATGCTGATTAATAATTATTAGTGGACTTTCACACTCTCTCTAAACATCGGTAATCCTATTCAGTTTCTACTACCAAAGTGCATCCCTCTAGCAAGTGTCCAACCAGAATCAGTGCTGTATCTGAGGTCCACACAGAGACAGCTCCCTTTCCAGCTTAAGTCTTAGAAACCCTTGAATATATTTCACGCTCTCCCCCACCCCCTTAATAGTAAAACATAAGATGTACGCAAAATTTTTGAAAGTATGTTCTGGCCTGTGGTTTATATTTATGAATGGCTCTTACTCTTCAGGTAAGCTTCTGGAAGCTGCCGAGCATTATGAAGCGTTCCATCAATTGACGCAAGGGCGGAGGTGGAAGGATGAGACAGGCCGCTTTCTCAACTTGTTGGCCTGCGAGAGTCTCCTGAGGACGTACAGATTACTCTCCGACAAAATGCTGGAAAATAAAGATTACACACAGGCCATCAGAATTCTAATAAAAGCTTCTGAAATAGCCAAAGAAGGTAAGTGGAAAGAACACTCTCGCATGGCTTCCTTTAATGGGCAGACGCTGCTTCTCCCGAGAGAGGTATAAGCATCGTCAAGTGTTTGGGTGATTATTTCCTATGAAATGCAAAGACAAATGCCATCAATATCCTTTCAAATTTCACTGTAAAACAGAGGAGCCTTAGTGCTGACAACAAGAAATCCATTAGTTTCTTGAAAGCTTTATCTCCAAAATTACAACCTACTGGGAGGAGTGTTGTAAAACAATGAACCCATAATGAGAAAGTACAGTCATTTGCAAAAGTTAGTGTGTGTGTGTGTGTGTGTGTGTGTGTGTGTGTGTGTGTTTAAGGTCTTATTATTCTCATAATCTGATAGACCTTTCATTGTTTGTAAATTCCCCATTGTCAGGTAATAGGGAAGATTTGATAAATATTAGGAGTAACAGGACAATAGAACTCTAATATATTGTAGACTCTTGCCTGCCACAGTGTGGCCTTTGGGCTGGCAGTGTCAGCATCATCAGGAAGCTTGTAAGTAAAGCAGCAACTCAGGGCCCCACCTGGGACCTCCTGCATCAGAATCTGCAGTTAGCAAGTTCCCCAGGTGATTCACACTCACTCACATGACAGCAGTAGAAACACCTTTGCAAAAGGGGATCCCTGATATTCTGTATCATTTGCATACATATGAAGTATTTAAAAATTGTGGCACATACTAGTATGCTCACAAGCTTTTACTTTGTGAAATGCAAGGGTATTTTATTACCATACTAGTGGTCCGGTGCATGAAATTCCTTTACTGGAAGGGGGGGTCCCTCAGCCTAGCCTGTGCCCTCTCACAGTCAGGGAGCCCCATGATTGATCACCCCGCAGAAGGAAGCCCTGCCCATACACCACAGCCCGCTGGTCGGTGGCCTGGGCCTCCCTCCATGGGGTGATCATGGGGCAATGGCTGGGCCCCCAACCAATCCCATTGTACCCCGCCTTGGCTGGCCTGGCACCAGTGGGTGTCATAGCATGGTAGTCTGGATGTTCGTTCTGCTGTTCAGCCATTCGGTCAATTTGCATATTATACTTTTATTATTATGGATAGTAATGTATTACTAGAGTAGCCTTTTCATGAAGAAAAAAAGATAAAAATTATGCTCTTGCCCTGAACTTTATTGGCTTGTGGATATATTTTCTCTATTGGAATAACAGATGGCTTATTTGGAATAAGCAAGACTGATTTTCCTGGGTGTGATTTTAATTTTCTAAGGAGCAAAAGTAAACAGCTTATTGTCTCTATTATGTATTTTAATGATATTAGTTGGAATACCCATAGGAAAACATCCCTCCCCCCCCCTCTTTGAAAGATGTATTTCACTGCATGAACTACTTTTGAATGAATGGTGATCTAGTATCTTCTCTAAAGGGGTAAACCGTGATGTAAATAGTTAGCTCTTAGATCAATTGCAGTAGCTGACTTTAGTTACCTGGAAAGTTATGTGGAATTTCAATGATATCAATTAGGAAAAGGTATTTTGCTTTAGGTTCCCATATGCTAAACTGTAAAGTCGTTCACAAAGAAAGAATGGTTCCCATCAAGAATCTTGAAAATAAAAACAGTATTTTCTTTAAGATAAATGATTATTGATTTAGAGAGCAAAGCCAATATTAATTCAACCCACTCAAACTACACAATATAAATAGTATTTCTCCCTTTGCTAGATGTGTCACTCAACTTTAATAGCGCTGACATTTCCCACCATTCTTTCATTGCTTTCACTTTATCTTAACTTTTTCTGAACTAGTAAAGAGGAAAAAATTTTATGCTTAAATCCCATTTTAAAACTAATATTTGATGTGATCCAGCTGTTTAATTTAGCTGCCTCAAAATCTGTGGTTCTCAACCTTGGCTGCACATTAGAATCACCTGGGAATCTTTTTAAAATCCTGGGCCTCATCCTCGGGCCCAGAAATCAGGATCTATCACTGCTCAAAATCTATCAACCAGGGTAGATGTTCTTCCTCTCCTCCTCTTTGCTGGGATGCCCTTTACAAAAAAAATAGATGCAAATGATAGTAATGCATCATGTGGTTAGTGGTTTAACACAATTACTCCACTGAACACAGCAAGTCACATATAACCAACTTTTCATCATTCCAGGGCCACATCCCTTCTCAGCCTCTTCCTTTTGCCGCCCCCTCCCTCTCCTCCCTAGTCTCATTCCTATCCCATCACTCATAAACCTATTCTAGAGGAAAAGTTAGTGCCCAGGTGAATTTTAAGAGTTAAAATTCCAGACTGGATCTACCGGTCCCATCCACTATGCTGAACGGAAATCTTAGAATTCTCTGCAATTGGTGTAATGGCTAGAGAAGAAAAAAATACAGCCACTGGCATTAGCAGTCCTGTTTTCTTGCAGTCTTCCAAATGAGACACGCTTCGTGAGGGATAATGCACTCATGAAGTGCTGAGCGTGAAAGCAGCACAGAGAATTGCTGGCTCCTGCTGACATCCATCATGGTGGGAACGCAGAGTTCAGAAATCTAAGGATACTTACGTTCTAAAGATCAAAAGTGAGGGTGCACCGGTCAGCATTTGCATTACCTAGGAGTTAGTTAGGTGACACTGAAAGCCAATGACCTCCCAAAGTAGAAGTATAGTATTCTTTTCATGTTTAAGCATCTTGAATGGTTTTTATAAGTATATCATATGTAAATGTTATATTTAGTGTATTAAATGTGAGTAAATTATGTTTATGAGATGGTATGATGTATATATTATTGGACCACATGTTGCATGTTTACGCATTCCACTTTTGGAAAAGAGAATTTGATAATTCCTGGAATAAAGCGCATTACACAGAAATAAGAAAGGTTTAATTCCTTGTGAAAAGAAGATGAAAAACAAAGAAAAATGACTCTTTCGGTCACTCTCATCCAAGTTTTAACCAATAGCTTTTAAATTGAACCTAATAAAAAATAATTCCTGAATTTGCTAATTATCTGCCCTGTTAGAGACTTAGCTCAATATCAGTTTTGTGTATGCATGTTTGTGTATGCATCATGTAATGTTGGTTCTCTTAACTGATTATTTGATGTGTGTAGTAGCAGCCATGCTGGACGACTATAGGTCTTTACACAGTGGACCAGCATAGAAATTATACATGAGTTTCAAAATGATAATACCGGTCTGTGCATGTCGGGGATAACTCCTCGTGATTATATTACTTATGCACCTTAACATCTGTGATTCAGGTAAATTTTGAAGGAACAGACTTTTTTTTTTTTAACAGAAAACAGATTTCAGAGATTTTTGATAAATGTGTATACTTTGCTATAACTGTTTACTGTCTTCAAAGCAAATATTCTGTTTGTTGTAATGAATAAATTTCTTTAAAGCCACGATAATTTTCTGTATTTTCACTTTAGCAAATGACAAGAAGATGGAAGGGGAAGCTTCCTATTACTTGGGCTTAGCACACTTGGCTGCCGGAGAACATGACACAGCATTAGAAGTAAGTTGAACTAAATGTTTAAGTGTTCCCACTTTAAATTTTTGTTTTATTATATTTTATTTTATTGTATGTTGTTATAAGTCTAACAGATATGGACCTTATAGCAGTGTACACATATATAGACACTAACGCACAATAGCAATATTCTGGAAGCACAAAAATTGTTTTTGTTTATAAAAGGTAGTACATAGTCAATTACCATTAAATGCTTAAGTATACATGAAAGTTAAATATACAGAATCATGTAACTGTCTATATTCTCATATCACCAAGGACAAGAGAAAATGGGTTTAAATGGCAGCAAAAAGTAAGTAATAAAAAATGTTACTAAAGAACCTGGTGGGTAGCTCAGTTGGTTGGAGCATCATCCAGATACTCCAAGGTTGCAGGTTCAGTCCCCGGTCAGGACACATACAAGAAGCAACCAACAAATGCATAACTAAGTGGAACAAATTGGCATTTCTCTCTGTATATACAGGCATCATGCCATGCACTGGATCTGTTCTATAAATTTGCAAGATAACACTAGTGGTGTAGTGTAGGGCGCAGCTATAGGGTTAAGCCTTGGACTGACCTGTTGGCAAAGCCACAGACAAGTCCCAGCTTAGAGGGCACAGTCCTCTTAACATAATTAGGCTTGACCTTATGATGCTCCCTAGATCTTATCTGGGAAGCTAATGGGCTGAGGGAGATGTAGCAAGTGCTGCCAAAACAAGTGAAACTCACAAGAACATTGTAACTATGGTGACCACTACCTTGTTTACCTCTGGCTATAAAATAAAGGTTCAGCTTGCCTCTGGGTCTCTCTCTCTCTGTGGCCTCAGCCAGGCACAGGAAGAACCACCTAGACCCAGCTTATTCTCTTTGTCTGTCATTTCTTCATCCTTTCGACGCCCTCCCTCAGGCTTTTGAACCCTTGACTGAGCTGGCTCGGCCCAGTGTAGGATAGTCTAGTAATGAATGTTATTAGGAAACTAATACACAGAGTGATTAGAAAAGATAATTCACATAAAGTTTTAAGACCACCTGCCTGGTATATAATAAACCTTTGATAATGATTAGCTTTTAGCACTTTTACCCTGACCAGTTTCTGGGCATTAGTAGAGGTGAAGGTGGTGACAAGTAGATACAGTAGTTCTGAAAGACTTGGGAATAGACTAAATGTGGAAGGCGAGGGACATAGAGGTGTCCAGGTGGACCCTAGGTTCCTGGCTGTGGAGCTGGATAGATGCCGGGCTCATTCACTGAGGCAGAGAATGCTGAAGGGCGCCAGCCTTGGGGGAAATGCAGAGTTCTGTTTTGAATATTGAATTTGAGGACATTTTAAGATATCCAAGGAGAGATCAAATAGACAGAAGTACATGTGAGTCTGGACACAAAAGGAAATCTAGATTGGAGATGCTGTATAAACTTCACACTGATAAATGTGTAACTTTAAGCAAACTAGAGCTGAGGAGTAGAGGAGATTGCCTAGGGCAGGTGAACAGTGATTGATAAAAAAAGTCCTAGGGCCAAGCTGGGTGAAGGTGGTACAAAGGGGATTAAGCAAGAGTGTCCATGGAAGTGGGAGGAAAACCAGGAATAGATGATCTGACCAAAGATAAGCCATGGGAACTCGGCATGTCTAAAAGACTTAAATATGCCAACTCCTCTGCCTCCCATCCCAGGTTTTGGGCTGGAATAAGAGAGCTCCTTGCAGATATTTTCAATAAGAACTCATCCCCCTCCCTTAGGCAAGTACGTGGGTTAGTTAGGGTAGTTAATGTTTGTCATTGAGTTCCCAGCCAGGGCAGAGGCTTTGGGAAACCGGGCAGGCCGCACTGCAGGCCTCGGGCTCACTGCTGCACTCACCATACAAGTCCAGCCTTTGCAGTTGGTAAGAGTTGGGGGCTGTCTTGGAACCCAGGTCTCATGGCAGAATATTGCTGCCTTTTGGGAAAACAGCTGACCCAGAACTGAGGCCTTGCGGGAACCAAGCATAAGATTTGGGTCAGACCCACAGGCAGAGCTGCAGGGCCAAAAGTGGGTTTTGTTGTCAAGTCTGGACACAGGATGCCAAGAGCAAAGACAAGAAGGAGCCACCAAGGATTGGGAAGTTGGGCTGGGGTCTGGGTGGGTGGAGAATGGACACTGAGCAGTAGTAGATTTGGGGGGTGAACTGGGAGGTCTCCCAGTTCAGGCTGGTGGCAGAGAGCAGCCGGTTTCTGTGGTTGGACTCATATAAAATAGGTTCCCACAAAACCTGACATCTTGCTTGGATCTCAGGTTGAAGGCCATGTCTTTTCAGCCTCTCTAGTGTCTGACTTCAGCCACTACCCCCTGCTTCCTTTCAGGGATAACAGGGAATGCTTCAGACTACCATTTGATTCCCCCTTCCCTTTTTGCTTCTGGACCTGGGAGCTCTTCATGTTACATAAATGATCTATTATTATTTATTTGCAAACTACCGCGTGTCTTTCCAACCGCAGTCTCTCTCCTTCCGACAGCATTGTTTCTGGTTTACAAGATGCCTGTTAGGAACTCACAACATATCTTCCTTCTTTAGTGAATATATTGTGGAAAAAAAAAATCACATGATCAGTTCATAAATAGGATTGATTACTTGATTGATTGATTGATTAGATATCTGTCCAGTTATCTAATCGTGAAGTAGAAATTCAACATAAAAATGTTTTTTTTTGAAATCTTCTTTTACCCTACGCTCCGCTCCTCCCTGTGCAGTATTACCAACACCACTGATAGCATTTCTGTCCAGTGTGGCTGTGAAGGGGGCCAGAATGCTAAGAAAGCAGCTTTGTGGTGCTGGAGCCAGAGTGACAGCTGGTGGTTAGATCTAGCACTTCCTTCCCTCTTCTTATTCAGTCTAGCTTTAGTGTTCCTCAACGCCATATACAGTTTTTATTTTCTCACCTGTAATTTAAGTTTAGAATTTAGAACATTTTCACGTATTCAGTATCTTGCCTCTAGATTCAATCTCCACCTCTCACAGATGTCTCCCTTCCAATAATGTTGTTCATCTGTTTAAAAACTTTTACATGATTTTTCTGAGAAACTGGGCTTAGAGAACCCTGTCATAAGTAAGTATTTCTAATTGAAGGTTCTGATGATCACAAACAGATGAGATTTTGAAAATTTTCTAATTTATCTTAACTTAAAGGCTTTAATTTATTGATATATGATTAGTACATGTAATATGAGAATATGTTGGCAAGCATATATGAATACAGTCTGGCTGATAAAAAGTTCTTTTCTCAGTGACAGAATAGAGCCAACCTAAAAACAAATAGTGGATTTCTTTAGGGCTGACGTACCTAAAGTAATGAGGAAAAGGTATTTGGTGAAGGAAAAGGACAGTTACTCTAATAAACCTGTGCATGAGGTCATGGAGACCCTGACATTTAAAGAGGAGAATGTTACCTGCATATATCAGGTGCTGAGAAAAGAAATAGTCGTCCCCTTTGGCCATCATCAATTTAGGCCTATAAATGCTCCATGTAGAGTAAATTCTGAATTTTAGAAGGTAAATCTTATGAAGTTCTAAGGTTTTAGAGAGAAAAACTTAGGGGTAGGCAAAAGTAGGTTAATAATAAATAATGCAGTAATTAATATGGGAATAATAATACAAGAAGAAACTGTGTTTCACATACTCACAGCTGTAAACCTGCTTTTGCCCACCCCTTTATTTTATTAAAAGTCACATTTAAGGCCTTGTGCAAAGTTGGACCACCTTTCACAGTCAAATATTGAAACCATGAAATTATTTTAAGAAAAAGGAAGGTCCTCCCTTAGCACTTGGTTTTTATACATGAATTTTCTTCCTCTCTAATCCTTTATTCCACTTAAAAATTTTGGGAACACCACCTTTAAATTTACTCAAACTTTAGTATGTTCAGTGAATTATTTGCTTCCTGTTATTTAGCAATAATGCAGCCTACCAAAAAATTATACTATGAAAGCAAAATTCATCATATTGATATTTCATTCATTTCATCATATGTACTATGATTTAATTTTTCCATATACAAAACAGCAGCTCTCTTTTTGCGTACGTTAGCATCTTTATAATAGCTTAGAGTGCTTCTAATATTGGTGTTAGTGTACGTACAAGGTTACCCTAAGTCTGTAGCCTCAGCAGCAGCCGCATTTTGTAGCAAATTATCTTATTAACATATCAGAACAAATATAGGATGTCTCAAAAAATGTATACGTACACGTTGAATAATTATAAAGGCATTGTTTATTAACATACATTTCATTTTCAAAATTGAGCTATTGGCCATTAAAGTGTGCATACATTTTGGGGGACACACCCTATCGTTAGACTATTTAATTCCAATAAGTCATGGATTGTTTATAAAGTATATGGATCATATTTGTAAAATGATATATTCTTGGGGTCTCACTAAGTAAATGTAATTAAATGTTATTTATTTTTTCAACTAAATAGATGTAAACAAAGATAAAACCATTTTATATGAGGGCATCTCTAACAAAGAATGATTTGTTTGTAATGTAGGTGGAGGAAATGATCATTGGAGCTATTCCCATTTAGTTCCTTTCTCTATTTAGAATGTTACCTTCTCCCTTAAAAGTCACTCCATTCTTGATATTGGTGGACTCTTTATTCAAATGACTGGAGGCCCGGTGCACAGATTCATGCACAATGAAAGGAAATTAATTAGAAGGTGGCCAGCAGGGTAGGACTGGGCAAGACGGGCCGGAAACACCCTGGAGCCAACCTCCCACAGTCCCTCCCCAGCCGGCTGCACCTGGGGCAGCACTGGGTCTCAAAGGGCATCTGTGGAGTGAGCAGGGTCCCTCCAGCAGGTGGGGTCCCTTGGCCTGGCCTGTGGGGATTGGGCCGAAACTGACATCCCCCAAGGGGTCCTGGAGTATGAGAGGGCATTCTGCAAAGTTGCTGTCACTCGGCTGCTCCTGCATTGAGCACCTGCCTCTTGCTGGTCAGTGCGTGTCATATCTACTGGCCAGTCGGCTGGTCA